AGTAATGCACTGAGACCATTTTTTTCAGTATCGAGTACCGATATTTTTTTTCTGGTACTCGCCGATACCAAATACCGATACCAGAAGTCCTATGGAAGCCGGACGGAGTGTAATGACTTGCCACCCGGCTTACCGATTACCCGGGTAGCCATCTCCATGCTCCCTCCTCACCAGATGACGAGGAAGCAAGAAGCCGTCTTTCTGGCCAATAAGGATGCGGTTGTAGGAAGCCGGGTGGCGAGTCATTACATGGCGCCCAGCTCCCTGATTGGCCCAGGAAGCCGGCTCCGTGCTCCCTCTTTACTAGGTGATGAGGGATCATGGAGACAACTTTCTGGCCAATCAGGACAGCCAGGGGGCAGGTAATGACTCGCCAGGCAGCTTCCAGATCTGGTCCTGAAAATGGTTTGAACCTGCCCTCAGTTCCAGTGCATTCAGACCAGACAAAATGAGACATGCAGGGGCATCCCGAGGCTGGGTGACAACCGTATCGGTTACCGTGTGTCACCCCGCCCACTCGCCGAGGCGACATCGCGCGCGCGCAGCGATCTTCTGATCCCTGCCGGCGGCCATCTTGGTGATGGACGCCGGCAGAGAGAGGAGGGGACAGTCACCGGGCGGGATAAGCTATGCCGTCGGTTCCCCTCCTCTCTCTCCTAAAACTGTCGGGGGTTCGGTCCATGACTGAGCGCCCGACTTTTCAGAGGGGGGTGACACCAAAATCACTGTCATTGTGACGCCACTGGAGACATGCAGTATTTTTCTGGTCTGCGCTGGTGTGAACAGAGGCCAGAAATAGCACAGGGTTACATTAGGATGCATTTTGGGTCCAGAAACAATCTGGTCTGGAGATGATCTGGATGTGGTGTGAATGGGGCCTAAAAAAGAAAACAAATGCTGCCACTACATTTAATGACTAGTAAACGGCAACATATTGAATTTTGGATCTTCTGTTTAGTTTTGCTTTACGACAAAAGTGCAGTACCGTTCCAAGCAGAAAATCTTTCTTGTACAGCCCTTCAAAACATCAACCAGGTTATAAATACAATGCAATATATATTCCCTCTTTAACACTAAAAGCTTTCATTATAAGTATCGGATGGCTTTTTAAAAAAAAGTTACAGAGCAATGAATACAAAATATGAGCGTATTTGTTCAGGCATATCCCATTTGGCCAAGACAGGCCATGTTCTCTTGGTTAATATGATTAGATTTGTCAGTTAGCTACCCATTTGTGACCAATTATTTCAAGAGTGGATGGATTCACTGAGCTGGCCGGGCCGTGTTTTGACAAGCGCTGTTTTACCAATCACAGATCTGCCTAAAATCTTACAAGACAAAACAAAGTCTCTCAGTTGTACAGTGCAGACATATTATTTTAATGATGTCTGTCAATGAGTGCCATAATGAGCCAAAGTCACTGCTGTCTCCTCAGGCGACTCTGTGGATTTACAAACCATGAGTAAACGACGGGAGACTGCTCATTTCACTGGCAAATAGGTTCCAGACTGTCAAGAACAATGGAAGTGCTAATAGCACACTAGGAAAAGGGCCACAAAATAAGGAAGGTGTGTCTATTCAAATATGACAAATGCAAACAGGAACCAAGCTTGCCAGCAAGTCAAAAAAGAAGTTACATAGACTTTAATTCTACCTCATCTGTTCTCTCTTCCTGCTTACCAAGCACTTAGGGAATTAATGTAATTCTTATCAGTACAATTGATCAAATTATGAGTTACATATTCACAATGTATATTACATAAAGTAATCCTAACATGTCAATGATCAAAAAAGCAATGACTGATTGCAAGCTATCACTAAGAGTTCTAAAAGTGTAGGACTCCACCTAAAATATGTCACTTGCAGCCAGCTAAGTGACAAAAGAGTAGAAAAACTGGATGGAAATAGTGTTTGTTGACAGATTGGTAACCTTACCAGTTATTATGGATACTTGGCTGTTTAAAAAAAATCCCAACATAATATGCTACAATAAATATAGTCACTACTCTACTTACTGCAGAAGTGAAAATAAATTGATGTTGTTCATTACAGTGATAAGAAAAAAAGTCCCTGCACTAACTTTTCTACAGTAACCCATGTTAAGGAGGCCCATTGCACAAAAAGGAAGTGCATAATAATGTACAGCGTGATACCATGCATTTTTATTGACTGATCAAGGCTTTGTAACCTTTTAATGCAGTTATTCACAAAAACACATGGAAAGCATTGAACAAACATACATTAAACTGTGCATCACCTTAACTCATTTGAAAATGTATGCAAAAACAAGACTTCTAAGTGCTCATTACTGAATGTGCAAAGATGTAAAATATATGTAAAAAATAAGTCAAGGCAACTGGACTTGCTGTATTTTTCTTGAAGACGTTTCACTGGTCATCCAACCAGCTTTCTCATTTCAGAATTACTTGTTCAAAAATTATCTGGGAATAAATATGGTGAATGTTGCTTCAATCCACATAATCTGTTAGCTGCAACCAGGTGTTGATTGCATTATTGGAGCTAGGAGGTGTTGAGAAAGCTGGTTGGATGACAAGTGAAACGTCTTCAAGAGAAATACAGCAAGTCCAGTTGCCTTGATTTATTTTTGACAGATATACCATGTGACCTGGATGAATGAGAACCTTCACAGACAAAAATTTGAAATGGCCCTTAGTAATATAATAGGGTTGGTTAACTAAAGTAGAGCCCGTTCACTTAGCAAAGTGAATGTTAAAATGACCCATTGACTAACTGCACCAAAGTAATCTACGCTAAGGGCCGGTTCACACCACAAAGTCCACGTTCCAGTCCGTTCGACCTCTGGAACGCACTAGAACGTTAGCCAGCCGGCCCACTACGTTCAGGGATGGGAGGGGGCGTGGCGGTGCATTGACGTAATTGGCACCGCAGCCATGCCCCCCGCCCACAGTGCAATCGCCCGGACCCGGAACACTGCAAGCACTATTTTTGCAGATCGCACTGGACCAGAACGCAAGCACTAATGTGCCTGCATTCCGGGCGATCACACTGCGGACGAGAAGCATGGCTGCGGTGCCATTGACCTCAAAGCACCGACACACCCCCACCCGCCTCTGAACACAAGGAGGCGCCCAGCTTGCATTCCAGTGCGTTCCAGGCCAAATGCACTGGAACACGGAGTTTGTGGTGTGAACCGGCCCTTAGTCTGTGAAGGGAGATGACATTTATCTAAGATTTCTGATGGCCGTCTCTTAAAACTCTGTGTTGCAGACCACTGGCCACCACTTCTGACACTTACGGATCTATCAAATAAATCAAAGACATGGTTTCTGCTATGTATGGTAGTGATGTAGAAGCTGAGGAAAGGAACCACAACATGCAGTTGAAGACCAGATATTAAATACACCCAAAGACATAGGCTGCCAGAAAGTTAAGAATACATTGAGGGATATTTATCAATTCTGTGTGGCAAAGCAGTGAGACAATTTGTCATAAATTCCTTCATCATGGCACTAAAGTAGCTCTGCGACAGATTAAAACCTGACCCCGACCACTTCTTAATTATGCAACTGTTGTGGAAATCTGTTTCAGAACTTTGCAAAATGTTGCACTTGGCAGCCCTGGAAAGCAGACACACAGGACAATAAACCTGTCAAAGACACTTTGCTAAAGCGGCAGCCTGATTTGTGACTAATTATGTAGCTAATTTGCTTAATTACTATCCCCCATTAAAGACTTGGTTGAGCTTATTTTGGTGCCATTAGGGACAGGGTTGCTTTAATGCATAAGGTGGTTAAAGTGTTCACTTTAAATACCCAATCATGGGCTTGAAAAATCCTGTTTTTTTATTAACCTTGAACATGTATTATAAGGTATTAACGTGAAGACAGCTTCACCATATTCACCAACATTCACGTTTCTAAAAGTCTCTATGCCTTTAGTAAATTACTCCACTGCGTTTGCTTTGTACTTGGCACATAGAGTAAAATATATTGCTGTTATTCCTACAACTGGAGGTATTATTACTTTCCACTTAACATAGGTTTTTTTTTTACATGTTGCACAACTATATATTGTATATTCTTGTTTTCAAGACACATAAATGTACACACCTTATCAAAACATCTTATCGTATTCTGTATATGTGCTTTAATGTAAAAGAATAAAAAGTGTTCAATAGAAACAGTATTTGCAGCAGCAAAGAGCTCCTGCCATCTGAGTTGGTAGGGTATAAAAGCTGGAGTTATCTAGCACTTCCCTGTGGTATCCGGAAGCACCAGAAGTAAATCTCCAAACGACATCTCCCAGCATTCCTAGCACTATCTCCTTACAGTGGGGTGTATTTGTGGAAGTGTCCCTAGCAGTGCTGTGAGCTGGATGAAATCTGTGGGTAGTATAATGTGCTTTTCTGCTGGAGTATGTCAAATAACCACATTACATCACACCGTCATGGTACAGTCCAAGATATCTTGGTGGACACAACCAGTGGCAAAGGGGTATTCGGGGAGGACGTGGAAGCAGTGCCATTTACACTTTACAAAAAACATTTAGCAGCAGATTACCAAATGCAGTAGTCAAATCAGTAAAGATATTTCTCACTTTTGTAACTCGAGATTCCATATATGAACAATACAACTTATAAACTTCTGGTCAAGGGAGAGAGAAAGAAAGGCGCTGTGGACTGGAGAGGGGGGTGTTTAAGAGGGATTAGAAATTGTGATATAGTACAAGGTGGGTATTCACCAGTGTGGTTATGCTCACTAGTTGTCCTGTGGACAGGCTAGACGAGGAAAGGTTTCACAGGAATATGCTGTACTACAGGTTCTGGGTAGTTGTGTCACCTCCTGTGCAAAGAGTGTGGTGGGGCTTTAATGTAGATGAACATAATTACATATATTTTGGCAATAGTTCTATTGTGCAATAAATAGGCGGTGTGGCAAAGATTCTGCCAAAATTGGTGGTATTTTAGTTTATATAGAAGGCAATATACATGTATTTACACATTTACTTTGTTAACTTACTGCAGAAGTGAGACGGGCAAGTGCTTGTATTTGCAGAACTCTGTTATTTGCATCAGTCCCATTTTCTAACTTATCAGTAGACCTGTGAAAAGAAGAAGAGTCATATTACACAAAATGTGTATTGTTCAATGTTTAAGTAAGTACGTAGGCAAACATGACAAAATACACAAAAAAAGTGAAAGCTTTAAAACCCCCTTGACCTAAAAATTACATTTCAGAGTTTATATCTGTAGGAAACTCCTTTGCTGCAGATGTAGAAAAGTCTGTTCTTTTTATGTGTAGGAAGACACTGGGCATTTGGCCACCATTTGTTGTGGGCAATACTATTATACCGACACTGGGAGCATTGGCTCTGTGAATTTAGGCTAGCACTACAAGTGGAAAAGCCACGTAGACTGGTGCCACAGGTTCCAAGAGGTGGCAGGATGCTCAATCTTTATCGTCTCAACCCATTACTCTGTTCTGTAGGAACACAAGTATAAAAACAAAGAACATATTTCTTTCAAACCTATGTACTATATACTTTTAATAGGGGCTATAGAACAGACAATAAGAAGTGGCCTAAGGGTGCCTTTCTAAAATTCAGCAGTCAGCCAGCAGGGTCACTTAAAGTGGCTTTATATATTGAATATGTTATCGCTATGCAAAACCTTTATTATTAGTTTTTAGTCGGAAGGGAAGTGTCAGTGCATCTGTGACATTTTTGTTGCCGTCTATGTCCCCCTTGGGGAGATTTAGCCCTCGATTTGTACTGAGGGCCACTGTCACCAAGAAAGAAAGTGAGAGTTGTGCCCAGAACAAGGGATAATAAGGAAATCTTCCAATTAGGACGCCTGTTCTGCGGACAATTGTCAAAGAGGGGAAATCTTCTAACAATAGGAAATTTCCTCTAACATCATGTTGCATCTTTGGGGCAGGAAGTGAAGAAAAATTCCCCCAATGGTACACAGACAAAGGACACTGTAGGCTTCCCTGTCAACTGCTATTATGAAAACGAGGAAAGATTTCTACATAGCCAAAAGAGGACATGACTTGCCCCCTGCACATTATCTTGCTTACAGTAAAATTTTAAGGTTCAATACTGCCTCTGTGCTTGCCGGTCTCCCCACGTAGGTTCTCACTGTTCCTCCCTTACACAGTTTGTGCATTTCTGTGAATGGAATTGAGGACTATGTACCTACAGTTGGGTCTGTAAACCTTGAATCAATCTGTCAGCGGAGTAGGGAGACAGTTTGCAATACACTTCTAGCCGCCTGGTTTAGGTACATAATAGGCACATTGTTTCTTTCATCTTCTCTGCCCCATCTCAATATGCATGGCTATGAAGTCTGATCTTGTTAGTGTGATACAAGACTAGCCAGTCAGGTAGGAGAGGTGCACAAAACAGTTGGCCGGGGGGGGGTATCAATATGTCTCGCATGAAACATGTTAGTTTCAACAAATAACCATTCTTGGAAAATAAAGTGCATGATAAAATTGGAGAATATGCATGAAATTGATTGCTGAACAACATATGTCAGAAGTGACAAAGAGTGAAGAGAGATTGCATAAATCATTCCAGGTGGCAGCTGATGACAGATCACATGACCTATCCAGCTTCTTGCCAATACAAAACTGATTATACAGCACAATGCAGCAGATAGTTTTTTTCCCCAAGTGTTACATTATATAGTCACTAATTGTATTAGGTTTTTTGATGGAAAATGGCCCACCTAATGTACACATCACATGTCTTCGTTGAATATCCATATATACAAGCAATGACACTCTGCACAGAAATCACATGTATACAGAATATTAATACATATGGTCTAGTCTTAACAACTTGATGTTTAGACTACCTAAATGTAATGTGTACATCACAAACAAACATCTGCTGAATCTGTGCCATATGGCTGTGCAATGTTTAAAAACAAACATGACAGGAGACATATATTGTTTGCAAACAGATGAGCACAGGTTCTGGCTTTAGCAGAATCCTGCTAGACAGGAAATCTGAAGCTGAAGCGTCATTCAGGAAGCCTGAGCTGTCCATAAAATCATGCAGCATTCAGTCAACCTGTCTCCATATTGTGCTAGCCTGCCTCTGCAGAAGACTCACTGATTCTAATGTATGTATAATCTGCCAGTCATCAGAGAGATAGCTAACAGCATGCTCCTTCCACAGGCATCCCGATTTGTTTTTACTGCAGTTTTCTTTCCACATGAGCCAAATAACATCCACATAGTCAATTTAATGTACTCACATCTTTGACGTTAATGTGATCTACTGCAGACACTTTACTGCTGTTAGATCCGGCCTTGGTTTACACGCTTTCACATTTACAGATTCGCTTGACAGAATGGCTGAATTTATTACCATGATGCTTTGAAAGGGAGTGTATCATCTTGATAAAAACCTCTTACTTCATGCTAATTCATTTCCTCCGCCTATCAATTTATAGCCGTTAAAAGGAATGTTCCATTCCTCACTTGTTGTTGCATATTAACGATGTGCTTCCTCCCTGGTGATATCATTCACTGTACTATGCCATCAACTGGCATCACCTACTTGGCTTCTTCCAGAAGGAGGATGAGCAGAAGTGACAATTGCTTGGTGCAAAGATGATCCTCTATAATACGCTCTCATGTTAAAGTAACAGACAAATCCTTTAACACTCCTCCAACATAATTTTGTAAAAATGTATTATATATACATTTATTTATACATTAACTGTCACATATATCAGGCAACCTATGCAAAAAAAGGATGCTTAAAGACAAACATTACAATGCAAATAGTTCTGTCTGGAGAAACTAAATTCTGAAGTTAGAAAATGAAAACAGCTTTTCTTTTATGCTCTCATAGGTAGTGTGCTTAGGGTGCAAAACTGAAGAGTCTTTAAAGGGAAATGACACAATGAAAAAGATAATTGCTCACATCTTCATAAAAGAAAAAAAGTGTGCATTTCTAATTTTTTTGCATAGGAGCCAATAAAGCAATGTGACCACAGTCAGTGGATTTCAGGTGCAGTGCTCTGACTCCTGCAGACTCCTCCCCCTGTCCATGTTCGTATCGATGTATGGACATTTTAGTAACATAGACGGGAGGAAGTCAAGTGGTGACATCACTAGGGCTGCAAAAACTAATCGATAATGAGGATCGTTGTCAACGATTAGTTGATCCGATTAGTTGATTCTTTTATGGGCTCCTTGTCCCCTTCAATTCCTGCTGCTCCCAACTCCGAACTCAAAATTCTATCGGGACATCATGCTATAAGGCATAACACGTGTCAAAGGGAGATGTGAGAACACTGGTAGAATAGTTCTAACTTAAAGTTCTGGATGGGAAGGGGGTTTAACACCGCGGATGTCAACTGGTTAAAGTAGTTGTGAACCTGTGAACCCTTAGCCTAAAAAAATCATAACAACAACCACGGCAGCTTCATTTAGTTATTGTCACAAGATAGCTCTATCCTCTCTGTGTCCCAAGGTCCAAGGGCGGTGGTGAACTCCTAATGAATCTAGGCTTCTTCTGCTGTGTGCAGCTGCTCTATTGACAGCGAGGCTCCTGGTGGGACCCGCTGTCAATCAACACAACATGAATGCACAGGGGGTATGGCAAGGCGTGCAGCCAAACAGACTACCGGAGATACTGGAAAGCAATGCATGGACATGGCATCCTGTCTCTCCAAGCAGAAATAATAGATGCACAAAGTTATCTAGTCAGCAAGGATTTGTGTGGTCAGAAGGAAACAGGAACTGGGGATCTGAGGGATCAGTGAAATGAAGATCACAATAAAGAACAGGCTAACCACAGCATGAAAAAATGAAAACATAAATGTGATAGGAATTTTTAGGGTAACAGATATTTTAGGCCAAAACTTTTTTTCTCTTTTTGTTAGTTTTGTAGATTGTCCTTAAAAAATATATATATTCAATTTCTTGCATATTAATATAGGGATATATTTCCATTATTCTAAACACTGTAATTACCTTTCTGTTATAAAATCTAGATTACATAAAGGTATTACATGATTGATATTATATTTCAGTTTGACTTCCTATTTCTGTCTATTTATTGTTATAACAAGTGCAATGTAACAAGATATGCTAGTAGTTATATTGTGTGTCTAGTCACTTTGAACATTTGGCAGATTGTTGATAAGGAAGAAAATACTTACACATCACAGATATTCGAGGTCAGTGGGGCAAGTGGTGCAAGCTGTTTTAAGAGCCGAACCCCCATCTGCCACCCTCTGTCTCTTCCAAATTCACAGACAGTATCAGTACACTCATCAGAAGAAAACTGGTAGAAAACAAACCCATCTTGGAAGCAATGCTGTTTGTCAACTGTTTGAAAAAGAAAAGAGAATGTTAGACAAAAAAGGATTACCCTAATGGCGGTCAGCAGTTTATTCCATAGAATTACTGAACAGGAAGACAGCTGCATTTGAAAATATTGTGCCCCATTATATGACATTCATTTTAAATATTACCTGTCCTGACATGTATTCATGTACTTTTTTAGAAATATTCTAAAAAAAATCTATGACTATTTCAGCCTTGTGACTGGCTCATACCAGCTAGCCACGCTAAAACGCACGGCCACTGGTGTGCGCTGGGAGGAAACAATACTCGTGCACCAATCCTGGCACATAGCACGGTTTGCCAATATTTTTTAATGAATGCAGCCACCACATCTTATGACTGGTAAGCTGCAATACATTAACTCTATGTTTAGATTCGCTTTAGATACCACTATCCAAGAAATAACTATGGTGGAAGGTGTTGTTTCAACAGGCACTACAGGCAGAAACACATCCACTAACTCCTTGATGTTGTCTTCCCCTTCAACGAATGTCCCGGCAGGGAGGCCTTCCAGAGAGAGGAATAAAAGTCAATGAGCAGACAACATTCAGGCAGCACAAAATAGAAACTGCTTTTCTAAGTTCTGGTGTGTATTCAACCGTTTGACCAAATCCTTTTACTCCCAAAATGAGGATGCTGCTTAGCGGGTGTTAGGAATCTGCTTTAGAGCCTGTGTGAGCAAAACGAGAAACAGAGAAGTGATGTGTCAAAATAAGAAAAACTAGCAACTACCAACTGTGGTACACAGCCCAAAATGAACAAGGAAGCAAAGCCTGGAAAATGACAGAAAATGAGTAAGATTCTGGACTATTGATTTTGATCTTATGACATCAGAAGATTCCAAAATGGAATGGTTTACAGAGGGAATGAGCTTTCCTAACTGACCTGCAGGGCATAAATATCATCTCTTGCCATTGTTTTTCTTTTGTATTGCTGTAGAATGAATGTGACATAGGGTAAAACTTTCATTTCATAGTTCCCTAACCAAAGAAACATGAAACTATAGAAGACCATACACATGAAGATCTTTTATTAAATAGTGCTGTGTGTTGGCATAAATCAATGAATGTCGGCTCTACTACAGACTACAGCTTTTTCTCCTATTTTTCCGCATTCACTTTACTCTTGAGTACTGCACATTTTCCAGCAAGCCAGAAGCGTTCTTTAGCCAAGACCACCAATTTCCTGTAATCTTTCACACTGATTACTGGAAGAAAAGCACTAATTAGTCACATCACTTCTAAAAATCTTATGGTGGTCTATACCACGTACCTAACTATAGCATCTACTCAAGCAACCTATTTTTTACTGACCACAGTAAAGTTAAATCCGATTGGCTGCTATACTGTAGGTACTTTGCTGCTTTTACTACTTTACTTGTAAGCCCAAACTGTACACTTATTATGTGGTCATAAGCTTGTTTATCGTACAGGTTTTGGAGTGGACATATACATAAATATAGCTTCATTAGCAGTTTTGTTGGTATAGATAAATATAGCCATCTTGTTTTAAATTGTATTGTAACTGTAATCTCTTCCTTATAATGTAAAGTGCTACATGAACTGGTAGTGCTATATAAATCCTGAATTATAATAATAATAACAATAACAATAATAATAGAGTAACAGGCTGAAATGCCTTTGTTTCCAAGGTAAAATCATGCTCCAGACACTCCATGGTGCTGGCAAAATATGAGAAAGCCTAGGCACTAGGTCTTGTGATCTGTGGCGAAGGAGACTAATAGGGGTTAGACTGGCCAATCCTTAAAGCATAACCTTATCCGCCTATTAGCCTCAACTTGATCAGCTGTGACACCAGCCATTTACGGGCTTGAACGTTCGGTTGAGAGCTGACAAAAGCACATTGGCAACCATGACAGTTTTTACCAGCAACTTGCCTTGAATGTAGCATACAATGTACATATCCTAGTAGGCATAATATTATTTAAAACACTGCAGAAAACAACACTGGTATGTTTGATTAAGAATTGAATACCATTTAATTGAATCAATTAAAAGAATTGAATACCATTTCTAGCTTGACAGTTAAATTGATGGGTTTAGATCTGCTCTAAAAGGCAGGTTCACACCATTTTCTGGACCAGATCTGGTCCGAAAAATGGTGTCAACCAGCCCGCAGTTCCAGTGCATTCCAGACCAGGCAAAATGAGACATGCAGTATTTTTCTGGTCTGGTCTGGTCTGGTCTGGAACGGACTGCCTGGTGTAAATAGAGGCCAGAAATAGCATAGGGATACATTAGGATGCATTTTGGAAACCATCTGGTCTCGTCTGGAGATGATCTGGATGTGGTGTGAATGGGCCCTAAAGAAGAACTCCAGGATTTTTTTTTATTATTAACCCTTGCAGTGGGGCTACCCACTGCAAGAGTTAACTGCTCATTTGTGTCTAGTTTAAAAAAAACAAAGATATACTCACCCAAAGCTCCAAGCCAGCTTCTTCTTTGACCGGTCCTTCTCATTTCTCTCCCCCTCCTCTGCAGCGGTCTAAAGTCCTGTAAATCATCAGTGTATAGACATAAGGGTGCTGAGGAAGAATACAATGTTGCAGGGAGTGCTTTGACAGCTGGTCGCCTGGGAGCTTCGGGTGAGTATATGTTTGTTATTTTACCACCTAGACAGAAACGAGGACTTAACCCTTTCAGTGTGAGGGAAGCCCCACTGCAGGGGTTAAAAAAAACAATTCATGGGGTTCTTCTTTAAGCAGTGATCATGGAGACTAATCTTTTACACAAGGCTGGACCCAAAGGTAATACTTTCCACAGTAGTATTTTCTCCAGGAAAAGCCCTCCTAACGGTCTTTACTCATCCTTCCCAGCAAGAATGTTAACATTTCAGTACAGCTCCTTTTTAAAATTGAAAATATTTAATTGTAAAACCAATCATAAATTATTATTGCAAACATAACACTCTAATGCACATATTTTGAAAACAAAAATGTTTATGAAAAATTAGTTTACTTCGCAGGTGTGAAAAGAAAAAATTCTATAAGCATAACGGAGATAGGAAACTGTCAGCGTGTTATCAAACCTTATCTCTCTACATTAAAATGGGAGTCACGAGAATGTAACACACAGCAACATAACACATTCTAGAAGTGTGATTGCTTTCATATTTTAAAACATTTCTTGTGTGATGGGTTGCAGTTATGTACAAAATATGTGAATTTATACTGAGCATCTAACAGGAAATATTTAAAACCGAGTTCCTTACTCTCGACAGCAAACCATGTGAAATAACAGCTTGTAGTAGATGGTCGAGTGTACACTTGTGTTTTATTTTCTTGGTATTAATAATTTGCTGACACAGCTGTCTGTGAAAAATACTAATATTAATGCCATCACAAAGGCACTAGCTGTCAGAACCATGAGGCATAATATGAACATTTGTTGTTATAGGACCCTTGTTTTCCCTCCGCATGATATAACTGAGTGGGTCAGAACCAGGCAAAAAGGTCAGTTACCAATCTATAATCAGAAGTAGGATGTAAACTGTGTTGTCAGTCAGTAAGATGAAGAGACGGATGGTTCAATACACAGTATGTGATTAGTTAATATGGGTTTAGGCATGTAGTGCATTGTTGTTGCTCTTAGCATAGACTTATTAAATTAATCATACATAATCCTATATTAAAATACTAAAAAATAAGATATCTGTGAAGGAAATATGCTGGTACAGGCATACTCTAGGACGGATTAACAGTGGAATGCATAAAAAAACAGTTATGACTCTAATAGCATCTACATAAAAATGATGCATGCACAGCTACCAAGTACATGAAGAGTTTAGAGTATGCTATCAAGTTGTGGAATTCTTTCCCCCAGAGGCACAGCTACCGTGCAATCAGGGGATGGAAGTAACACAGCAGTCCATATAATTATTTTCACGTCAGTAACTCTTTAGAACAGCTGGATGTTTTTCAGGAGAAGATTGCTGCACTGTTTGCCCTCGCACATGGAATATGAGTGCTCTGCAGTCACAAAAAGTTTTCAGTTAAACAGACCTGAAAGGAGAATTCCGAGCTTCAGTAAGATCTGCCAGATGCCTGCGGCTGTGTATCTGCACTGGACAAATTGACAGTTCTGCAGGAGCCAATCCACCAGCTCTGAACCCACACAGCTCCTTCTGAAAAACAGAGCACATTACGGGATTTTAGAGATTGGTCTGCTACAAAGTAATAAACCTGAGCTGTTGTATAATGACAGTCGCACCTATTAAACAAAAAGAAGTTAACAAAAACACAAAGCTGTACATTTAGCATGAGTAGTTTTCAGTTTTCATGCAGAACTCTAAGCAAATAAAATCTTAACCCTTGCAGTGGGGCTACCCCGGTACTGCATGTATTAAGTTTGTATTTGCTTAGAGATCTGTGTGTTGTTTGAGAGCTAAAATAACAAAGTTACACTCACCCAAACTACAAATCTGGCTGGCTCCTAGACCAGTCTCTTCAGCCTATCTCCCTATTGATGGTATGTCCCTAGGCGTCCTCCTGTATAGAACGTGATGACTCACAGGACCTTAGATTGCTGAAGTAGAGAGGGAGCGAGGCTAAAAGGGCTAGTCTAACAGCAACCTGGGATCATGGTTCGGGTGAGCATAACTTTTTTTTTAGCTCTCTAGAACAGGGGTGCCCATTAGGTCGATCGCGATCTACCAGTCGATCGCAAAGCGAACACTGATAGATCGCGATCAGCTCACTTACCTGAGCTTCCTCCTGCAGTGCTAGTGTGGCTGAATCTGTCAGATGTGACAGACGGGAAGAGGCGGAACACCTCTCCCCGTGTGCAGCATTCGGCCACACGAGAAACGCGGGAGGACAGGTCGGCACACAAGAGGAGACCTGGGAAGCAGGTAAGAAGAGACAGCAGAGATAGAGAGAGAAGAGACCGCCGAGAGAGAAGAGACAGCAGAGAGAAACAGGGGAGAGAGAGAAGAGACAGCAGAGAGAAACAGGGGAGAGAGAGAAGAGACAGCAGAGAGAAACAGGGGAGAGAGAGAAGAGACAGCAGAGAGAAACAGGGGAGAGAGAGAAGAGAGAAACAGGGGAGAGAGAGAAGAGCCAAGAGAGAGGGCCGGTTCACACCACAAAGTCTCCGTTCCAGAGCCCTCAGCCTCTGGAACACAAGCCGGCCGGCTCCCTGCATTCAGGGTCGGGAGGGGGTGTGGAGGTGCATTGAAGTCAATGGCACTGCAGCCACGCCCCCTGCCCGCAGTGTAATCGCTCTCACCCGGAATGCAGGCACTTTAGTGCCTGCTTTCCGTTCCAGTGCAATCTGCAAAAATAGTGCTTGCAGCATTTTTGCAGATCATACTGGACAAGACCCAGACACTCTTGTGCCTGTGTTCCGGGTGATCGCACTGCGGGTGGGGGCTTGGCTGCGGTGCCATTGACTTCAATGCACCGCCACGCCCCCACCTGGCCCTGAATGCAGGGAGATGGCCGGCTTGCGTTCCAGTGGGTTTCAGAGGCTAAACGCTCTGGAACGCAGACTTTGTGATGTGAACCGGCCCAGAGAGAGGCAGCAGAGAGAGGAGAGAGAGAGATACAGGGGAGAGAGCGGGCCAGTAGTCCCAGTAACAATTTTAATGTGCTTGTTTTTTAAATAAAGGTGTTTTTTCGCTGGTAGATCTCACTGAGCTCGTCATTTGAAAAGTAGATCTCCAGATGACAAATTGTGAGCACCCCTACTCTAGAAAAAGGGGGTAGCCACACTGCAAGGAATAAGATTCGATTTGCCTGGAGTTCCAATTTAAAGATTGCAATTTTTTAACCCTTTCATGACCATTAATGCTTACATGCCCAGAACAAATATAGCAAGGTCAGTATGTGACAATACCTCTGTAACTAATTTGCCTACCTAAATATATTATAGGCTGCTTTTTTATGATCATATAGGCTTTGTTACAATGTTTACATAAATAAATAAATAAAAAACTCAGATTTATAACTACAGGCTGATAAATTGACAAAAAATGTGGTAAAGAATTGTGCTTTATTATTGTGATAACTTTTTAAACATGATTGGAAAGTGTTAACACTGTTTTGTCTTGTTTATTAAAAATGTATTTCTAAAAGAAAATATCCACAGCTGTCAACTAACAGCAAAGCTAATGATGATTTGAATTGAAAGCTGCCAGTTAAGTTGGTTCTGTCATGGTATACAAATACACTGTGAAATGAAAGGTGGCCCTAGGGTAGATCCAGAGGAAGGATTATGCTTCTCACCTGGCCTGAAAGGGAATTTAACTCCCCTGGGAAGATCTAGAGTTTTTAGCAAAGGCAACTTATATCCAGTCCAGGAAGACCCTCACCAAGCACAGATTTTGTTGATGTAATACAGAGGTAGGCAACCTCAGCACTCCAGCTATGGTGAAACTACAAATCCTGTCATGCCTCTCCCTCTAGGATTCATGCCTGTGGCTGCTAGAGTCTCGCAATGCATCATGGGGCTTGTAATTCAACAACAGCTGGAGTCCCGCCCAGGTTGCCTGCCCCTGATGTACTAGATCCAAACCTGACTGCTTGGCCAGCTTCAAAGTCTGGTCCATGAAAATGGTTAAACCTAAACTCTAGGAAGATATAAAAAAAACACACATTTAATCCAGCCCTGCATTCATGAATAATCCATAAT